GAATAGGTAATGCCATCCCTGCCAGGCAATGTACCGGTCGGATTGTGGGAGGATTGCTTTAAATTCTGTTTTTTAAATAACTTGCTTGCTCCTATTTCAAATGACCCCTTTTTCTTGGGGCTACGGATGACCAATTTCATCATAGGATGTTTAGTGACTGTTTTTACTTCAGCAGTTACATACAACATCTGTGGATGTGAAAAAAACATTTCCCAAATGCATTTTTCAAGTCCTTACAAAATGACTCTAGTAGGACATTAACTATACGTCACATGGATTACAAAGTTATGCACAGGAAAGACTCTCAAGGTCAAGGGTAGAGAAAATCTATTTTTATAAATGGAGTGACTCAATTGGGCAATTAATAAGGACATGTTCTAATAACATACAGTACAGTAATATTGGCTGGGTGCAATGGAGTCTGGGGTGACCTTGATGTTCAGTATAAGCAAAGACAGCAACATAAACCAAAACATATAGAAGAAGCAATAGATTTGTCTTTTAAATATGACAAAACATATATTCAAAAAGTACCTTTCATAAAGGAGACAGAGTCAAACAGAGGAAACATTTCCACAGGGCCATCTTGTAAACAGATTCCAGAAAAGTCATTCATTTTTCTCTCCTTTCATAACAACACAAAGACATCTTGTATAACCATGAGCGGTTGCAGGGCTCACTATTGAGTCTATGTTTTAAAAAAACACAGGACAGGCAGATGGAATATCCAGAGGAAATCTATTTAAATGATTTTTTATAAAAAATAACATTTTGCCAAAACCTTTGGCCTTTGGCAGCTTTTGCAATAAATGTTAGTAACTGTGAATATTTCACAAAAGTAACATAAATTGAAACAAAGCTTTTGTATATTACATAATTGTTGCTTATGGGTTGCATGTTACTTGTTTAATATCACTGATTGAAGAAAACATGTGAGCATGTGAAAAATGTTGTTGACCACACTCCTTTTGTAATGTTGTTGTTGTAGTTGTTGTTTTAGTAGTTGTTGTTTTTGTTGTTGTTGACAATCCTTGGAAACCAACAGAACATATCATTTTATTCAGTAGAGATGGACAGTTTATGAGCTGCATCTTCTGATGATAATGCTCAGTGATTTTTTGGGTTTGGCCTATGAAATGTGCCAGAAAACAGCAAAGAAGACAACAGCTGTGTTGTTACAATTTCTTCATAGTGATTTAGTCTGGGGATGATATCAATGAAGGTTTGGCAAATACCTCTATTAATAAAAGCAGATTTTACTCTTGTTTTTGTCATCTCTGGAAAAAATTATCAGTACATTTGTGACTGCCTAAAATGTCAGATTACTTATTTCCCTTTGATTATCGAAACCTTACGGCCTCCTCTTCATTTCTAATCATAGAGGGGGCTAAGTCTTCATTAGGATGGAGGTGGCTGTGTCTTTGAAATTAATATTTCAGATAAGAAAGCATAGGCTACAGGTACTGCTGTAATCTAAAAGGTTTGAAGGATTCATTCCTGCCCTCCCAAACATCAACCCTGAAAGTACTTTCTCATGTATATTGGAACTCGTTTCAGAAAGTCAATAACTTCAGGTAGGCCTGGATGTTATGTGGTTTCCTGCACTGTCATTTTCAATTTTCTGCTGAATACACTCACTTAATGAGTCCTCTATCAAAGTTATCTATTTAACTTTAAAAGTTATCAAATGTTCAATCAAATGTGATTGGACATTAATATTTCATTCCCAACATGCAGGTCTATCTTCACTCTCATTGACATTTAATGATTTGCATAGATGGGGAGATCAGGATAATTAATAGATTTGACCACATGAGATTGGGGTATTGCAGATTACAACCAGTCAGGGGTATTGTGCAGGAGAAACATTATGCAGCCATTCTAATGTCCAAGAGAGTAGGCTTACAGGCAACAATCTTAGTCATGTTATCTGTCAGATTTTACCACAAGGAAAACATACATCACCACACTTTGAAGCAAACAAATAATACAATGCAATTGGTGGAATCAAACTCATGAATATGATTTAGGCATATGTTTTATCATTGTACAGCAAAGAGCAATTGTCCAAGCTGGAAATGAACTGGAGCAAATATAGATTCCACATATAAGTAACATGCTTTTTGAGTCTATAGCCTACCCTTTCTTTGATAACCTTAGTGAAATGTTATGAAGGAGAGCCTCCTGGATTGAAAAAGTATATGACATGGATACTGGGTGGCATCCATGTTACTATGGTACACACAGCTTTTACTTACTAGGGGAAGGTAGAGCTGTGTAGAAGTGTCGTTTTGCCCTCTTTATCAAAATATGCAGGTTGCCTGCCAGGCATAGAAGAACCAGTTTGGAGACATATATTACATGTTACATTATTGCCATCTTGTGGTTGAAGTTGTTCTATTTTCTCCCTGATGGATATAAGGAATCAGGATAATGGGTTACGGTTCATCCCATCTGATATATTATATATAAAGCCTTTGACTAATAGTTTAATTTATTTACCCACATTCATTTAAATCAGTGGAATGTTTGGAATGTTGTTGTTCACCACACCATTAAAATACCATGAATAACATTAAACAATAAAATAGGGTTGTTCCATTTGATTTAAATAACTTTCTGACCACACCCCTTTTGATAGGAACAAAACGTTCCATACATTTTTGCCCATGGTAGAAGTTCCTTTATGGACCTGAATGCCAAAACATTTAGAAGATAGAGGTGCTCAAAGTTGACCCGTATGCCATGAGACATAATTGTCTTTATCAGAACGGTTGAGTTAGATATCGTTTAAAAGTTTACAAACAGGGTCGTCAAACAATTTTATAATTTCTTGTTTTTTTTATAAAATGTGGTCTTTTTATTTAACCTTTAACATCAATTATCTAAAAACACGTAAACTCAACAACAACAAAAAAACAATTTCTGCATATGTTTTAGTTTAGACCCTATTATTTTACATCATCTGAGGTGTTTGTGTTGTGCCCCCCATCGATAGAGACAGCAATAGATATGTCCATACTCTTGAATACAGGGTGGGCGTAATTTCAATCATAGAAATAGAATACATAGAATGGACATATCTATTCAGACCACTGAAATTTAGCTGGTACATCATTACTACCACAAAGATGGCCGTTGGTTAACCCACCATTGAAAGTGCACCTAAATGGGAATGTCTATATTATTATCTATATTTCTATTATTTCAATAGGTTTCCTATGGAAGATTGACAGTATAATTTAAAACTGATATTTTTTCAAGTCAACATTATCTGATATCTGGCCCTCCACCCATCTTTGTGCTACCATTTTAAAGTTAAAATGTAAATGTTATTCCCATTTTAGTACATTTATCAGCCAAAACATGACTTCCACCCTGTATTTCAGTGCATGCTGTGTCTCAACCGATGGTGGCACAACACAAACCACCTCAGATTGTGTAGAATTGGGTTTCAACTACGACATATCCAGAACGCTGCAGCCCTTCTGTTGTTCAACCTTTCCAAGTTCTCTCATGTCACCCCACTCCTCCGCACACTCCACTGGCTTCCAGTTGAGGTTCGCATCTACTACAAGACCATGGTGCTTGCCTACGGAGCTGTGAGGGGAACGGCACCTCCTTACCTTCAGGCTCTGATCAGACCCTACACCCAAACGAGGGCCACTACGTTCATCCACCTCTGGCCTGCTAGCCCCACTACCTCTACCGAAGCACAGTTCCCGCTCAGCCCAGTCAAAGCTATTCGCTGCTCTGGCACCCCAATGGTGGAACAAGCTCCCCCCGGACGCCAGGACAGCGGAGTCACTGACCACCTTCCGGAGACACTTGAAACCCTACCTCTTTAAGGAATACCTGGAATAAAAGTAATCCTTCTACCCCCAATAAAAAAAAGTGGTTGGCCCACTGGCTATCATAAATTCAATGCACCAATTTGTAAAGCGCTCTGGATAAGAGCATCTGCTATATGACGTAAATGTAAATATGAGTTTACGCGTGATAGATTTTTGGATAATTGATGCGAATGGCAAACAAAATCCTGATTTATATGTATTTTCTTTATTACGGAATTATACATTTGTTTGACAACCCTATTTGTAAGCTTTTAAATTATATAAAATTAAACCGTTTATCTTTTCCAGTGACGAAGAAAGACATGGCTGTCTCATGCTATGGTGGGGTATGCAAAATGGGTAATCTTTGAGCACTTCTATCTCCTAAATATGTTGGCATTCAGGTCCAAAAAGTAACTTTCTGACCACTTTTACCATGGGCAAATATGTATAGAAAGTTTTGTTCAAGTCAAAAGGAGTGCGTTCGAAAGGTGATTGAAATAAAATGGGATGGCCCTATAATGTTACTGCATTTTTAAATCAACACATCATCTCAATACTTTCAGGTATTTAACCCCTAAGGCAAACTCAAGGGGAACCAGATTATTTTATTTGGATGACCTGTTTGAATCATTAGTGGTATTATGTTTGAATGCTTTCCAATGCATTTTTCTGATTGGTGATAGCAAAGTTGGTCGTAAATACTGCTCTTCCTTTCTTGTGAACTATATAGTGGATCCATACTATAGGAGTGGATCACCAACCATTTTGTCAGATCAGTGATTTCGTCAAGGAAAGGAGGAAGGATATTATTTAGTATTCGAAAGGGGCATGTATTGGAAAGGGAATGAATTTAAACTGTTGGGAAGCGCGCACCTGCCTCTCACTGACGTCAGTGCAGGACCAGGTTGCGCCATTTTGAAAGTAGAAGCAGGGAGAGGGAAATAATAGTTGCAAGGTGATCCGAGGAAGCGTTGTTGATTGTCAAAGCATTGCTAAGCAAGATAAGTGACAGGAGAAGTTGAAAATAGTAAGGGAAAAGAGCCACACACTCCATAGCTTCACTTGCACTCTCAGCGAGATTCTGCTTGTACACACCCTAGCCCGGCAAACTGGAAAGATAAGCAAGGGCCCCAACCAAGCCCTCGACAGAGATTCCCTCTCACCATGGCAGGTAAAGTTAACTAGCAAGCTTACAATGTCTGATGCATAAATTGAAGGGGCTTGTTTATCGCCCATAAAGTTGCTAAGTTTCTATGTATATTGTCCGCTTTCTTGCCATTTGGAGAGAAGCTAGCTAGCTAGCTAGCTAGCTAACATTAGCCTCCTCCGAGTTGGGCGTGTACTCTGCATGTTGTCCCGCGTAGCAGATGCTTCCGCTAGATTTAACGTTATAGTAGCTAGCTAGCTAACTTCAACAACATTAGCTAACTAGTTATATTAACTAGCTAACTAACTAGCTTTCTATATTTGCTATCACTTTCTCTGTATTGAAGCTACCAAACAATGATGTCAGTAAGTTGCTCAATAGTTGTCTTCTCTAATTATGGAAAGTAACGTTAGTCAGTAGATTATAAAAAAGCATGCTCGCTTGCTAACTAGATATAGAAGATTCACATTAATCTTTGACATCAAAGCCATGAATGATGCAGCTTTTGATTTCTAAAGCGTTGCTCTGTTTGTGGGGTTCTAGGAGCCGGCGGCGGGGGCAATGATGTGCAGTGGTGTTTTTCTCAAGTCAAAGGAGCGATTGATGACGATGTGGCTGAAGGTAAGACTGATGATTCAGGCTCTAGACAGTTAGCTAGCTACGTTAGTTGATGTAGTCTAGCTTGGGTGCAGTCAATAATGCACTTAGCTTGCTACTGTACAGTGCCTTCAGAAAGTATTGACACCCCGTTACCTTTCCCACATTTTGTTGTGTTACAGCCTGAATTTAAAATGGATGATTTTGAGATTTTGTGCACACAATACCCCATAATGTCAGTGGACTTTTGTATGTAGAACATCTTAGAAATTAATAACTAATTCAAAGCTGAAATATCTTGAGTCAATAAGTATGTAACCCCTTTGTTATGACAAGCCTAAATAAGTCCAGGAGTGAAAAAAAAAAAGCATAACAAATCACATAATAATTGGCATGGACTCACTCTGTGCAATAATAGTGTTTAACATGATTTTTTAATAACTACCTAATCTCTGTACCCCACACATAACATTATCTGTAAGGTCCCTCAATCAAGTAGTGAATTTCAAGCACAAAGACAAGGGAGGTTTTTCAATGCCTTGGTAAGATGTGTTTTACAAATCAATACACCCAGTCACTACAAAGATCCAGGCGACCTTCCTAACTCAGTTGCCGAAGAGGAAGGAAACTGATCAGGGATCTCACCAAGCCAATGGTGATTTTAAAACAGTTAGAGTTTAATGGTTGTGATAGGAGAAACTGAGGATGGTTCAACAACATTGTATACTGAACAAAAATATAAACGCAACATACAACAATTTAAACGATTTTACTGAGTTACAGTTCGTATAAGGAAATTAGTCAATTGAAATAAATTAATTATGCCCTAATCTATGGATTTCATATGACTGGGCAGGGACGCAGCCATGGGTGGGTTTGGGAGGGCATAGGCCCACCCACTTGGGAGCCAGGCCCACCCACTGGGGAGCCAGGCCCAGCCAATCAGAATGAGATTTTCCCCACAAAAGGGCTTTATTACAGGCAGAAATACTCCTCCGTTTCATCAGCTGTGCGGGTGGCTGGTCTCAGATGATCCCGCAGGTGAAGAAGCCGGATGTGGAGGTCCTGGGATGGCGTGGTTACAAGTGGTCTGGGGTTGTGAGGCCGGTTGGACGTACCGCCAAATTCTCTAAAACGACGTTGGTAGAGAAATTAACATTACATTCTCTGGCAACAGTTCTTGTGGACATTCCTGCAGTCAGCATGCCAACTGCACGCTTCCTCAAAACTTGAGACATCTGTGTCATTGTGTTGTGTGACAAAACAGCACATTTTAGAGTGGCCTTTTACTGTCCCCAGCACAAGGTGCACCTGTGTAATGATCATGCTGTTTAATTAGCTTCTTGATATGCTTCTTGAAGTTTGTGCACATAATTTGAGACAAATAAGCTTTTTGTGAGTATGGAACATTTCTGGGATCTTTTATTTCAGCTCATGAAACATGGGACCAACACTTTACACATTTTTTATATTTTTGTTCAGTATACTTACTCCACAATACAAACCTAAATTACAGAATGAAAAGAAGAGAGCCTGTATAGTATAAAAGTTTTTGTCCTGAATACAATCAAATTGTATTTGTTACATGCTTCGTAAACAACAGGTGTAGACTAACAGTGAAATGCTTACTTACGGGACCTTCCCAACAATGCAGAGAGAAATAATAGAAAAATAATAACACAGGGAATAAATACACAATGAGTAACGATAACTTGGCTATATACACGGGGTGCCAGTACCGAGTCGATGTGCAGGGGTACGAGGTCATTTTGAGGTAGTTATGTACATATAGGTAGGGATAAAGTGACTATACAACAGGATAGATTAACAGTAACAGCAGTGTATGTGATGGGTTAAAAGAGTTGGTGCAAAAAGGGTCAATGCAGATAGTCCGGCTAGCTATTGGTTAACTATTTAACTAACAATTTAGCAGTCTTATGGCTTGGGTTTAGAAGCTGTTCAGGGTCCTGTTGGTTCCAGACTTGGTGCATCGGTACCACTTGCTGTGCGGTATCAGAGAGAAGTCTATGGCTGTTTTCACACTTGTTCCCTTTCAGACAGTTTTTGTGAACTCAGTGCCCCTGAAGCAAACCAAGAAAATCTCGAGAGGTGGTCTGAGTTCGGTTCGCTTGAATTCCGCGGTCCGGTTCCCGTTTTTTAGGGTAATGTGAACACAAAGCTCCCCAGGTTCACTTGTCATTATTCCTGCACCACACACAAGACTTCTGCAACACCGTTTCCCCTGCCATAACCCCTCACATTGGTGCCACAAAAGATAGAAGATGATGTGCAGCGGCGTATTCATTACGCCAATTCTGTTGAAAAAACATTTTTAGTAATGGAAGCAGCTACCTGAATTTGTCCAATAGAAACTCTGGTTTTAGTTAACTTTTTGGCTAATGATTACACCCCAGATTCACGTAAAAACGTGCGGTTTTTGGATATTGATTAGCGATTGTCAAGGATGCACAGAAATTCCAAAATATGTGTGGAGTTTTTAGTTCAGATTATTTGTTCGCAAGATGTGATCTACAGGCTAAGAGAGCTTCATAAGATGTTTATTCGATCGTGGGGTTTAAATAGTGTGAGAAGATGACATATTTAGTGAGATTCACAACAGGGTACAAAATCAATTCTAGCTCTTATAGGGGCAGTAGCATAAATTGGGTGTACAATTTTCAATGACAGCATTATTTAATCTGCAGTTAATCTTCTGCTATTTATTCTGTTACCAATAATACAGTGAGGGGAAAAAAGTATTTGATCCCCTGCTGATTTTGTACGTTTGCCCACTGACAAAAAATGATCAGTCTATCATTTTAATGGTAGGTTTATTTGAACAGTGAGAGAGAATAACAACAAAAAAATCCAGAAAAAAACACGTGTCAAAAATGTTATGAATTGATTTGCATTTTAATGAGGGAAATAAGTATTTGACCCCCTCTCAATCAGAAAGATTTCTGGCTCCCAGGTGTCTTTTTTATACAGGTAACGAACTGAGATTAGGAGCACGCTCTTAAAGGGAGTGCTCCTAATCTCAGTTTGTTACCTGTATAAAAGACACCTGTCCACAGAAGCAATCAATCAATCAATCAGATTCCAAACTCTCCACCATGGCCAAGACCAAAGAGCTCTCCAAGGATGTCAGGGACAAGATTGTAGACCTACACAAGGCTGGAATGGGCTACAAGACCATCGCCAAGCAGCTTGGTGAGAAGGTGACAACAGTTGGTGCGATTATTCGCAAATGGAAGAAACACAAAATAACTGTCAATCTCCCTCGGCCTGGGGCTCCATGCAAGATCTCACCTCGTGGAGTTGCAAAGATTATGAGAACGGTTAGGAATCATCCCAGAACTACACGGGAGGATCTTGTCAATGATCTCAAGGCAGCTGGGACCATAGTCACCAAGAAAACAATTGGTAACACACTACGCAGTGAAGGACTGAAATCCTGTAGCGCCCGCAAGTTCCCCCTGCTCAAGAAAGCACATATACAGGCCCGTCTGAAGTTTGCCAATGAACATCTGAATGATTCAGAGGAGAACTGGGTGAAAGTGTTGTGGTCAGATGAGACCAAAATGGAGCTCTTTGGCATCAACTCATCTCGCCGTGTTTGGAGGAGGAGGAATGCTGCCTATGACCCCAAGAACACCATCCCCACCGTCAAACATGGAGGTGGAAACATTATGCTTTGGGGGTGTTTTTCTGCTAAGGGGACAGGACAACTTCACCGCATCAAAGGGACGATGGACAGGGCCATGTACCGTCAAATCTTGGGTGAGAACCTCCTTCCCTCAGCCAGGGCATTGAAAATGGGCTGTGGATGGGTATTCCAGCATTTTGATGCAATGGCTTGTCCTGCACTTTGTAAAAACCCAGAGTTCATTGGGTGAATGTTGGGGAAAAAATCTTGGTTCCTTTCTAAACAGCAATGTGAATGCAAAGAGGTCTCGGACCACCAAATAAGTGAAGTGGCCTGGCAAAAGAGTTGAGTCCTCATTCAAAGGCAAGGGCAGTGTGAATACAAAGATAACTGAGTTATTTAGCTTATTTCTTACCCCAGAGTTTAATTTAAAGAAGACTGAGATCGGTTATTTTAAAGAGGACTATATGTGAAAACACCCTATAACTTGGGTGGCTGGAGTCTTTGACAGTTTTTAGGGCCTTCCTCTGACACCGCATGGTATAGACGTCCTGGATGGCAGGGAGCTCGGACCCAGTGATGTACTAGGCCGTACACACTACCCTCTGTAGCGCCTTGCGGCCGGATGCCAAGCAGTTGCCGTACCAAGCGGTGATGCAGCCAGTCAAGATGCTCTCAATGGTGCAGCTGTAGAAATGTTTGAGTGTCTAAGGGCCCATGCCAAATATTTGCTGCCTCCTGAGGGGGAAGAGGTGTTGTCGTGCCTTCTTCACGACTGTGTTGGTGTGTTGTGGACCATGATAATTCCTTAGTGATGTGAACCCAGAGGAACTTGGAAGTTCTCGACCTGCTCCACTACAGCCCCTTCGATGTGGATGGGGGGCCTGCTTGGCCCTCCGCTTCCTGTAGTCCACGATCAGATCCTTTGTCTTACTGATTTTGAGAGAGAGGTGGTTGTCCTGGCACCACACTACCAGGTCTCTGACCACAACCCTGTAGGCCGTCTCATCATCATCAGTGATCAGGCCTACCACCGTTGTGTCGTCTACAAACTTAATGATGGTGTTCGAGTCGTGGGTGAACAGGGAGTACAGGGGGGGACTAAGCACACACCCCTGAGGGGCCCCTGTGTTGGGGGTCAGCGTGGCAGATGTGTTGCCTACCGTCACCACCTGGGGGCGGCCCTTTATGAAGTCCATGATCCAGTTGCAGAGGGAGGTGTTTAATCCTATAGTCCTTAGCTTAGTGATGAGCTTAGTGAGAGCACTGTGGTGTTGAACACTGAGCTGTAGTCAATTAACAGCATTCTCACGTAGGTGTTCCTTTTTGACCAGGTGGGAAAGGGCTGTGGATCTGTTGGGGCGGTATGCAAATTGGAGTGGGTCTGGTATGAATGTGTTGATGTGAGCCATGACCACCCTTTCAAAGCATTTCATGACTACAGATGTGAGTGCTACGGGGCGATAGTCATTTCGACAGGTTACCTTGCCATTCTTGGGCACAGGGACTATGGTGGTCTGCTTGAAACATGTGGGTGTTACAGACTGGGTCAGGGAGAGTTTGAAAATGTCAGTGAAGATACTTGCCAGCTGGTAATCTGTCTGCCCTGCGGCCTTGTGAATGTTAACCTGTTTAAAGGTCTTACTCACATCGGCTACGGAGAGCATGATAACACAGTCGTCCGGAACAGCTGGTGCTCTCACTATGGTTCATTGTTGCTAGCCTCGAAGCGAACATAGAAGGTATTTAGCTCATCTGGGAGGCTTGGTTTCCCTTTGTAACCTGTGATAGTTTGCAAGCCCTGCCACATCCGACGAGCGTCAGAGCCGGTGTAGTAGAATTCAATCTTGGTCCTGTATTGACGCTTTGCCTGTTTGATGGTTGGTCGTAGTGCGTAGCGGGATTTCTTATAAGCATCCGGATTAGTGTCCCGCTATTTGAAAGCGGCAGCTCTAGCCTTTAGCTCAGTGTGGATGTTGCCTGTAATCCGTGGCTTCTGTTTGGGATATGTACGTACGGTACTGTTGGGACGACGTTGTTGATGCACTTATTAATGAATCCCGTAACATATTCCGGTTTGTGCTAGCGAAACAGTTATGAAGCTTAGCATACGCTTCATTGGACCACTTCCGTATTGCGCGCGTCACTGGTATTTCCTGTTTTGAGTTTTTTTGTTTGTAAGCAGGAATCAGGAGGATAGAGTTATAGTCAGATTTGCCAAATGGAGTGCAAGGGAGAGCTTTGTATGCGTCTCTGTGTGTGGCGTGAAGTTGAACTAGTGTTTTTCGCCTCTAGTTGCACAGGTGACATGCTGGTAGAAATGAGGTACAACTGATTTCAGTTTTCCTGCAATAAAGTCACTGGCCACTAGGAGCGCCGCCTCTGGGTGAGCATTTTCTTGTTTGCTTATGGCCCTATACAGCCCATTGAGTGCGGTCTTAGTGCCAGCATCAGTTTGTGGTGGTAAATAGCCAGCTATGAAAAATATAGATAACTCTCTTGGTAAATAGTATGGTCTACAGCTTATCATGAAGTATTCTAACTCAGGTGAGCAGAACCTCGAGACTTCCTTAATATTAGAGATGGCGCACCAGTTGTTGTTGACAAAAAGACACACACCCGCCTCCCCGGAGCTTCCCCGACGCCTCCATTCTGTCATGTTGATGTATAGAAAAAACTGCTAGATTTATATTGACCATTTCCTTGTTCAGCTACGACTTGCCACGACTCTGAGAGACATGGGATAGTACAGTTCTTCAGATCACGTTGATAGGATAGTCTCGAACGGAGCTCATCCAGTTTATTCTCCAGTGATTGCACATTCGCTAATAGAACGGAGGGTAGAGCCGACGTATCCACACCAACGTAGGCTCGTCTGGTATCCCGCACGCCGGCGTCTATAGCGCCGTCTCCTCCTCATCCTCCTCCTTCGAGTGTCGGGGATTTGGTCCGGGATAATCAATATCTTTCACCTCCGACTCATTGAAGTAGAAGTCCTCATCCAAATCTAAGTTAGTGATAGCTGTTCAGATGTCCAGAAGCTATTTTCGGTCATAGCAAACGATGGCGGAAACATTATGTACAAAAGATCAGTGGGGGGAAAAAACAATAGCACGATTGGTCAGGAGCCTGTAAAACGGACTCTATTCCCTCCAGCGCCATTCTACAACAAAGCGGTATGTTCGGGGCAAATCCAACACATCGCTGAGTACCACTCTTCATATTCTCAACCATGGCGGTGGCTGCATCATGTTATGGGTATGCTTGTTTTCAGCAAGGACTAGGGAGTTTTTTTTTAATTATAAAAAGAAAAGGAATCCAGCTATAAGTACAGGCAAAATCCTAGAAAACCTGGTTCAGTCTGCTTTTCAACAGACACTGGGAGACAAATTCACCTTTTCAGCAGGACGATAAACTAAAACACAAGGCCAAATCTACACTGGAGTTGCTTACCAAGATGACATTGAATGTTCCTGAGTGGCCTGGTTACAGTTTTGACTTAAATCGGCTTAAAGATCTATGGCAAGACTTGAAAATGGCTGTCTAGCAATGATCAACGATCAACTTGACAGAGCTTGAATAATTTAAAAAAGAATCATGGGCAAATATTGTACATTCCTTAGAGACTTACCCAAAAAGACTCACAGCTGTAATTGCCGCCAAAGGTGGTTCTACGAAGTATTAACTCAGGGATGTGAATACTAATGTAAATAAGATTTCTGTATTCATTTTCAATAAATGTGCAAAAAGTTATAATAACATGTTTTCATTTTGTCATTACGGGGTATGGTACACTACCAGTCAGAAGTTTGGACACCTACTCATTCAAGGGTTTTTCTTTATTTTTACTATTTTTTACATTGTAGAATAATAGTGAAGACATCAAAACTATGAAATAACACATATGGAATCATGTAGTAAACAAAAAAGTGTTTAACAAATCAAAAAAAAAGAAATATATATATATATATATTTGCATTTGCCTTGATGACAGCTTTGCACACTCTTGGCATTCTCTCAACCAGCTACACCTGGAATGCTTTTCCAGCAGTCTTGAAGGAGTTCCCACATATGCTGAGCACTTGTTGGCTGCTTTTTCTTCACTCTGCGGTCCGTCTCATCCCAAACCATCTGAATTGGGTTGAGGTCGGGGGATTGTGGAGGCCAGGTCATCTGATGCAGCCCTTACACAGCCTGGAGGTGTATTGAGTCATTGTCCTGTTGAAAAACAAATCATAGTCCCACTAAGCCCAACCCAGATGGGATGGTGTATCACTGCAGAATGCTGTGGTAGCCATGCTGGTTAAGTGTGCCTTGAATTCTAAATAAATCACAGTCAGTGTCCCCAGCAAAGCACCATAACACCACCTCCTCCATGCTTTACGGTGGGAAATACACATGCGGAGATCATCCATTCACCTACTCTGCGTCTCAAAGACACGGCGGTTGGAACCAAAAATCTCAAATTTGGACTCCAGACCAAAGGACACATTTCCACCAGTCTAATGTCCATTGCTCGTGTTTCTTGTCCCAAGCAGGTCTCTTCTTATTATTGGTGTCCTTTAGTAGTGGTTTCTTTGTAGCAATTTGACAATGAAGGCCTGATTCACACAGTCCCCTCTGAACAGTTGATGTTGAGATGTCTGTTACTTGAACTCTGTGAAGCATTTATTTGGGCTGCAATTTCTGAGGCTAGTAACTCTAATGAACTTATCCTCTGCAGCAGAGGTAACTCTGGGTCTTCATGAGAGCCAGTTTCATCATAGCGCTTGTTGGTTTTTACAACTGCACTTGAAGAAACTTTCAAAGTTCTTGAAATGTTCCGTATTGACTGACCTTCATGTCTTAAATAATGATGGACTGTCGTTTCTCTTTGCTTATTTGAGCTGTTCTTGCCATAATATGGACTTGGTCTTTTACCAAATAGGGCTATCTTCTGGCTATCATCAACTACAATGTAGAACATTGTGAAAAATAAAGTAAACCCTGGAATGAGTAGGTGTCCAAACTTGTGACTGTTACTGTATGTAGATAGAATATTTTCAATGTCCCAATGGAAAGGTAAGATCATGTTGGGTGATTCTCGTGACTGATCTACAGTGTCAGCCATTACATGTGGTTTTGGTCTGTAGCCTACTTCATCCCATGATGCAGGTAAATAAAGCATTGGTAAAGAGCCAATGGTAACTGTTGTATTTCTACACTTAAACTTATTAAGATGCTGGTACAACCATGGTAATTTTGCTTTTTAAATTGAGAGCTAGTAGCCTACTTGGGTTTCTAGGCTGCATAGACGGTGTGCTTAGTTGCACATAAGATAAAGGGAAATAACTATTAGGTGCCTTTTGGCTGACGACCTCCCTTGAAGTGTATGAATAGCTAGAGCTGAGTGCTTGATCGTGTGTGCACTTTACAAGATTCTGTTTACAGTACAAGCTTTGCCTGAGAACAAGCATAACAAAACAGATTAGGTCAGAATCTGTGTGTGTGACTGTCCCTTTGTTAATCACACACCTTCAGACATGCAAAAGCAAGACTCAGACAGTGGCTCTGTGGGTTATGCAACAGTTTTCATGCTGCTGCAAAATAGTTTATTTCTGCTTGTTTCCTTTCCCCTTTGTCTGTTTCTATTAGAAGTGTGGGGAGGCGGTGTGTGGCTGTGGGGGATAGCACTACCCTACACTCTCAGGCTTGTGCCAACCTCAGTCAACAAGGGAGAGTTTGTTGAGTTGAGCTAAAGGCAGCGAGATGAGAATTCTATGGAAGTGGTTCGCTGCAGATGCTATATTTGTTTTACGTTTTCACTCTGGGGTGGTTAAGTACAGCTTGCTTTCCACAGCTTCACAAAATCAGATGTAGGCTACTAGTACTAGGCTCAGTAGTTTTGAAATCAGTGCGCCACAGCAGGGAGCTAGATGCATGGCAAAATGGATAGTTACCCCCCAAAACATTACAAATGTTGATACTTCTATTATTTTGCAATAAGCAATTGAACTTACTAATTACCATGTTATTTGTGACAGCTGACATCATATCCACTGTGGAATTCAATCACTCTGGGGAGCTACTAGCCACTGGGGACAAGGGGGGCCGCGTTGTCATCTTTCAGCAGGAGCTAGAGGTAAGTGGAGGTTACTGCTCAACACAGCCCACTATAATTAAGCACTTGACAGAGTCGTCTCAGTAGTATATTTATTTTTGACATGATTGGACCCAGAATCTGCGTTGTGCATGTTGTCATTGAGCAGAGTAAGAGCCAGCCACAGTGCCGTGGAGAGTACAATGTTTACAGCACCTTCCAGAGCCACGAGCCTGAGTTCGACTACTTGAAGAGCCTTGAGATCGAGGAGAAGATCAACAAGATCCGGTGGCTGCCTCAGAAGAACGCTGCACAGTTCCTCTTGTCCACGAATGGTCAGTAGAGCAGTGTGTGCATGTAGCCTTACCCTTCCTAGCCCTTTCCTCTGTTGGAGATGGGGGGGGGGGACTCTAAATAAGCTGTTCATTATATTGACTCATTTGTACGTTTTGAATAGGAGAGGGAGCAACGGAAATATATTGCTGATGCAGAAGCAGCATTGACATACATGTGTGCTGTCTTGCAGATAAAACTATAAAGCTGTGGAAAATCAGTGAACGGGACAAGAGACCAGAGGGGTACAACCTGAAGGAAGAGGATGGGCGTTACAGAGACCCCACCACCGTCACAAAACTACGGGTGTGTAGACCTTCACGTACATATACCCTACACACTCAGAGACCCCAACATTGACTCATCCTATACACTACACACAAAACTCATACACCTGGCTAGAGAGAACCTGCTAAATCTCCTCCTTCCTCTTCACCATAGGTCCCAGTGTTTCAGCCCATGGACCTGATGGTGGAGGCCAGTCCCAGACGAGTGTTTGCTAATGCACACACCTACCACATCAACTCCATCTCGGTCAACAGCGACTGTGAGACCTACCTGTCTGCCGATGACCTTCGCATCAACCTCTGGAACCTGGAGATCACTGACCGCAGCTTTAGTATCCTCTCTGTGTTTGGTCCCCATCACTTTTCCTTTCAGTCTGTCTAATGAGCACTTCAGAAGGTCCTCTTGGTGATCTTGTTCCATCTTGATGTAATGCTTAAAACATTTTTTTATTATGCATTGAGTTTGCTTGGATAGCACTGTAACCAATTTTAATGAGATAGTTCAACAACGCACAATTAAAGAAATGTTTGGGTCAGAGTAGTTCAGGTGCCCCATTTCTTATCTGTGGTGTCAGAGCCAAATTTGGTAAAAGGTCTTTTATGTACTCTGCGCCATCGTCTTGGAACACCTTACAAAATAATTTTAAACTGGAAGAACTTGTCCCGATTGGTGTTTTTAAATCTCTTACAGGATGGGCATTCCCTGACCTGACACTTTGTCTAATTGTAGTATGCACCTATCTGCTCTGTGAATTATGAAGCTCTCTTACCAGCACTTCCAACGTAGTTGTAATGTGTTGTCATGATATTTTTGTAGATGCTGTGCCCTTGGACGACAGTTGGTGATAAAGGATTTGTAAATCATACTTTTCCAGTTTTCGGAACAGTTAAAGTTAATAAAGCCCTAGGTTTTCCTAGACCTCTGAAGCCTTAGACTTCATGAGGACCAGTCCAGCTACATTGAGACTTGACAGAGGACTTACGAGCAGCAATTCTCCTGTTTCATAGTGTGCAACCCTTGATCAAGCAAGCCGCTCATCTTCTCGATCCTGCTCTCGTACTGATGTCAGTCTTTACCACACTCCAAACGTAGTGATGGACAGTGGATCATATATACAGCAAATCTGGGCCCAAGGAGACCTTGTGCACTAAAGTATCATCATGTTGATCTACGAGATAGTTCCAGCTAGCACACTTCTCCTTGTTTCATTCAGTGTTTGAAGAGCCTGAGGATCCAAGCAACCGCTCATTCTTCTCTGAGATCATCTCCTCCATCTCTGATGTCAAGTTCAGCCACAGTGGGCGCTACATGATGACCAGGGACTACCTCACCGTCAAAATCTGGGACCTCAACATGGAGTCCCGTCCAGTAGAGACTTATCAGGTCAGCTGGTGTCTGTGGCGGGAGATAGTGACATCATGGATGTTGCATCCAAAATTCCATTTGCTTGTCAACTCTAAACTTCTAGTTTGATACATACATCTTCCACTAGGAGAAGATGGTGTGTGTAAATGTGTCCTTTACAAAGGCGCACCTGTCCTGAATTGGTCCCTGTTGTATTTTATGTATTTCTAGCAAAGATACATTCACTTGATTGTTGTATCATTTGTTATCATTTGAAGGTATGCTTATATTAGACTGAACCAATGTGTTTTTTTTGTGCAAATATTATGTACTCCAGTGTCTTGATTCACTATCATTTTCCTCCCAACAGGTTCATGAATACCTCAGGAGTAAACTGTGCTCACTCTATGAGAATGACTGCATCTTTGATAAGTTTGAGTGCTGCTGGAATGGAAATGACAGGTGAGGCTCGTCAAGTTTTGCCATAAATTCTTAACTTGATGCTGTATCTATGAATTGAGCCTATCCGATATGGGTATTTTGGATCTGATTTTATAGTGGAAATATTCACAATAACCGATATATCTGCCGATGTATTTATTAATATAGCTGGAATGGAAGAAAAAAAAACTTTTTCTGTATAGATTGTGCTTAAAACAGCCCTACAAAGATACTCAGAAAGATGCTCTTAAATTTGAGGAAAGAACATTAATGTAATGGATTTATGATGAATGGTTACTATTAACTTTTGTTTTTGACAAATGAGGCCTTGGGGTTTGCTTATGGTCATTTGGTGTATTCCAAAAGTAGATCATAAATAATACTGCACAGTATGAATGAATCATGATTTATGGAAGTGGATAATTAAACAGTAAGCAAAAATAACATAAAATACAGATAGATTGCTGGATACAGTAGAATCATGCAAAATGATTATGGAAGCTTTGCATTTGTGCCCTAAAAGGTTAAGAGCACCACATAAAATGTAGGAGCACCAGAAAGATTAAGTTTTGTTATGGAAAAACTGAAGACTGAGCTGCCTCATGCTAGCCAGCTTGACGACAACATATTTTCAATGTATTGGTATTTATCTGTTTTCATCGATTTGTAGGGCTGTAGCCAATGAATTCTGGTAGGTGTACAGTGAGGGAAAAAAGTATTTGATCCCCTGCTGATTTTGTACGTTTGCCCACTGACAAAGAAATTCAGTCTATAATTTTAATGGTAGGTTTATTTGAACAGTGAGAGACAGAATAACAACATTCAGAAAAAACGCATGTCAAAAATGTTATGAATTGATTTGCATTTTAATGAGGGAAATAAGTATTTGACCCCCTCTCAATCAGAAAGATTTCTGGCTCCCAGGTGTCTTTTATACAGGTAACAAGCTGAGATTAGGAGCACACTCTTAAAGGGAGTGCTCCTAATCTCAGTTTGTTACCTGTATAAAAAACACCTGTCCACAGAAGCAATCAATCAATCAGATTCCAAACTCTCCACCATGGCCAAGACCAAAGAGCTCTCCAAGGATGTCAGGGACAAGATTGTAGACCTACACAAGGCTGGAATGGGCTACAAGACCATCGCCAAACTGCTTGGTGAGAAGGTGACAACAGTTGGTGCGATTATTCGCAAATGGAAGAAACACAAAAGAACTGTCAATCTCCCTCGGCCTGGGGCTCCATGCAAGATCTCACCTCGTGGAGTTGCAATGATAATGGGAACGGTGAGGAATCATCCCAGAACTACACGGGAGGATCTTGTCAATGATCTCAAGGCAGCTGGGACCATAGTCACCAAGAAAACAATTGGTAACACACTACGCCGTGAAGGACTGAAATCCTGCAGTGCCCGCAAGGTCCCCCTGCTCAAGAAAGCACATATACAGGCCCGTCTGAAGTTTGCCGATGAACATCTGAATGATTCAGAGGAGAACTGGGTGAAAGTGTTGTGGTCAGATGAGACCAAAATCGAGCTCTTTGGCATCAACTCAATTTGCCGTGTTTGGAGGAGGAGGAATGATGTGACCCCAAGAACACCATCCCCACCGTCAAACATGGAGGTGGAAACATTATGCTTTGGGGGTGTTTTTCAGCTAAGGGGACAGGACAACTTCACCGCATCAAAGGGACGATGGACGGGGCCATGTACCGTCAAATCTTGGGTGAGCACCTCCTTCCCTCAGCCAGGGCATTGAAAATGGGTCGTGGATGGGTATTCCAACATGACAATGACCCAAAACACACGGCCAAGGCAACAAAGGAGTGGCTCAAGAAGAAGCACATTAAGGTCCTGGAGTGGCCTAGCCAGTCTCCAGACCTTAATCCCATAGAAAATCTGTGGAGGGAGCTGAAGGTTCGAGTTGCCAAACGTCAGCCTCGAAACCTTAATAACTTGGAGAAGATCTGCAAAGAAGAGTGGGACAAAATCCCTTCTGAGATGTGTGCAAACCTGGTGGCCAACTACAAGAAACGTCTGACCTCTGTGATTGCCAACAAGGGTTTTGCCACCAAGTACTAAGTCATGTTTTGCAGAGGGGAGAAATATTTATTTCCCTCATTTAAAATGCAAATCAATTTATAACATTTTTGACATGTGTTTTTCTGGATTTTTTTGTTATTCTCTCTCACTGTTCAAATAAACCTACCATTAAAATTATAGACTGATCGTGTCTTTGTCAGTGGGCAAACCCCATTGAAGTTGAAATTTAAAATGGTTAGGGTAGGGTTTAGGCTAGGGACGTCCCAAGGATTCCAGATAGCACTAACCCTCAGTGAACTGCGTCAAGTACTCTCACACAGCTAGTTAGCGAGCGCTTGTCGTGGAAATGGGGGTGGCGAAACGTGAATTTGGACCAGTCCTTGACAAGTGACAACCCATACATCAAAACGTAGCAACGAAGCGCTACTTTGTAACCTGATGTTTTTTTTGTCTCTGAAAACATTTGAATGACAGAGGCAGAGCTTGAGGAATACCCTTCGCAAAGAGCAAATATAACACACCAGATTTAGCGGGCTTCACTAAGGGGCTGTAACGTTCACGTTGCCACAGAGTTGAACGTTCTTAGCACATTTTGGCATAGCATCCATTGTTTGTCATGACACCCAACACCCTACCATGACACTTCACGTAACAGTCTATGGCCAGTGTGCGTTTTTGGCACTTTATTGAGCTTGCGAGCTTCTATCTACTCAGCACTCACCGTAGAAGCAGTAGGCCTAACAGTTAGTTCACAGTATTTCACTCTCCTCTCCAACTGGTGTAGTTGCGTTGGGTGATAAGTGTCCAGTCTGTAGCACGCCAAGGCAAGATAGGCTAATAGCCATGTAAAGAGCTCCCTCTTCAGGGCAAATAATGAAATGCCCAAATAATTGTCAGATTCTATGAACAGCTTTTTTCCAGAGCGTTTTCTCCGCGTCTTATATCGGCCCTTTCCGGTGGATTAAACGCCAATACAAATACATCCTTAAAAGGCTCATATTGGTCAGCCTCTAATTATTAATAGCTGTCTGACATTAATCAGGAAGTTGATGCGGTATGATACATTAGATCAATGTTTGATATTGAGGACACTGAATCATCAAAGTAATAGTTGTATTTATTGTAGTGCATAGTCATTTTATGTTCCATTAGGCCTACAGAAGAAGGGTTGTAGCTACTGTAAGATACAGTACATTGGGATTTCCCCTCATCTGAACTTAGCAGCACAGGCCTTTATCAAAGGCTGCCTTTATCTCAGTCAAACAGAACTCAAGGCTCCCCCTTGCATTACGTCTGTAATGGTGGACTCAAGGTGGATCTGTCTGTATTAGCTTGTTGATACATCATGTTTTTTTTACTCATTCACCGTACACGTTTAGGTTTCCCATCCCGCACAAAAGCCACTGGATTGCCATTATAAAGACTGTTGTTCCTGTCCCTTGACATCCTTGTATACATTCCACAGTACACTTGAATGTTGTAAGGGCTGATTTAATGAATGTGTTGGCTAGATTCTGTGATTGAAAGACTGATGTGAAACCACGGTCAGTCTGCCACTACCTCTGAGTCTCATTCCACACCCTTGTCCTCCTCAGTGTTGTGATGACAGGCTCGTACAACAACTTCTTCCGGATGTTTGACCGAGGCTACCGGCAGGATGTGACCCTGGAGGCGTCTCGGGAGAGCAGTAAGCCTCGCTCTGTGCTCAAGCCCCGCAAGGTGTGCACAGGTGGGAAACGCAAGAAGGACGAGATCAGTGTAGACAGCCTGGACTTTAACAAGAAGATCCTCCACACGGCCTGGCACCCCCAGGACAACATCATTGCCGTGGCCACCACTAACAACCTCTATATATTTCAGGACAGACTGTAACTAGTATTCAATTAACACTTCATATCCCAGATCCCACTTTAGCCCCACTACTCTGGTCCCCAACACCTCATCTGGAGAAGTGCAGCATAACGCCTCTGTTTTGATGGCTTTCTTAATCTCATTTCCTTTTCAGGGGGCTCCAACAGTACCACACTTCTCCTGCCACATGGCAACTGTTGTCCACTACATCCCAAAAGAAACACTTTTCTAACACTCTAGTCTTTTGGTGGGATATTGTTTATTTTGCTAATTTCCTATGTTGCTCATTTCACGGTTTTGGTGCCACAAGCATTTTTTATATGTACAAGCATTTTTTCTTTAGATAGGGAGTGATTTCAACTGGGTTCCCACCCCTACCCCTCTATTGTTGACACACATTACAAAATGCCATTCTGCATTGACCAAATTGGCAAGCTGTCAGCTCTCTGTATTTGTCCCAGGCCGTTTGTCAAGTTGCCAAGTTTCCTCACCCTCATCTTTCACATACAGTACACACTCACTCTTAACATCGATGTAGACACACACACACAAAAGCTCAACTCAGTTGTTGGGTTGGGGTTTGGGAGTAATTTTGAGACTACTATGTAAAATGCACAGTTGTTATTCAATCTGAGACTACAGACAAGGCTTAACAGTCTGGTAAGCACAGTGTCCTTCTCCAGAGGTAACCTGCAGTATGAAGCCGTTGCTTTTCCAAGTAAATAGTAGTGGGCAGAGGTGCTGCAGGCGGCCTAATCTCACATGGAAGGGACTGGTCCCTCTTGCACTTAGCGTGCCACCATGTACAGCTCAGCACAGAGGCTTCAGTGCAGTTATTGTAGGAGAGTATTCAGGCAGAGGCATGCCTTGGCCATATTGTGCTGACCTGCATGACTTGTGTCAGTTTAAATGTGAGAGGCACTCATTTGTACCTCTGCTGCTAAGTTCCATGCATGTGTCTTGACTTATGCTTATGTTTCTTATGAATTGTTAAGGTTTCCCTCTGGATCAAGTTTTTTGTTTGTATGTTTTTTAATGATGTTGTGTACTTCAGATAGGGAATAATCACTATAATTAGTTTATTTTTGTATGAACTAAGACAGAAATATTGATAACATTTAACCCCCTCACACTACTTGGTTTAGTCTGATCACTGTTGTCTGTTAAACTGTAGATTTTGGACTGATCTGTAGACTGAAGGATTACTTGAACTAGTGATATTTAATGTGACTTATTGTATGAGCATTGTGTTAAATTCAAGTGGGCCGCTGGTCTAAATATGGAGTGCATATTAATGTACCATTTAAGAAAGGCTTAATGCATGTTGGATGTCCAAAGAGCAGTCTTTTCAGGTATCGGGGCCACTGCGGACTCATTAGGGGTCATTATCTGAATGTTTTTGTATTTGGGTTACTGTAACTGATATTGACTGGAATGGATTCGGGTGCTTCAGTTTATTTAGCTAGTTCATTTGCGCAAATTGTTTCAACTCAGTTTGTGTGTGCCATGGCTATGTTTTCTAAACATTTGCACTGAGTGAAAGAGAATGAATAATAAATAGGCCATTGTACATTGAGAATGGGAAAGGCATTATCTGTTTTCCCTGCTTCAGTTTGACTGAAGAAACGCTCTTAACCACATTCACTTTGAGGAGAGTCAGGTTGATGGACTAGACAGGTTTACTGACTTATATTTTATGATGAGATGTTTTCTCTTCGATTGTGCATAACAAGTTCTTTATGCAGGAAACAAAAACTGTTAAGTGTATCATTGGATGAAATTACTGGTTAATGTCAGCTCAGGGCATTGGAGACAGTATTTCAAACGTACAGCATGTCCAGCGTTTGTGCTGTATTTAGTTAATGTGGCATTATTTGTTCATTAAGGTTTGGGAGGTTGTCTGTAGTACATTTGTTTATATAAAGACTTGATTGAAGAGATTCCAATTGTGAGCCATTGGATCATAAGTTAGCATTAAGCTTAAGCATTGAGTCTCTCACTAGTAATGCTACCAATAAGCACTATTGCAGACTGTCTGCAGTAAAGGTCATTAGCTCTACTGGTGTTGTCACTTCCTTAGGACTCTGCCTATGTCCTTGTTGAATACTTTGATTTTCTTATGTTTGTTTTGTGGACAGTTTATAATGGCTGTCACTTTGTTAGCTGTTGTGAGAATGTGTCATGACATGAGGAACAAGAGTAGCCTACTGTACATGTTTAGTCATCGTTAAGATGTCAAATGCGCCATAGGAGAAGCCACACGTTATACCCCTAACCCCATACCACTATCACACTCTTGGCATCAGAACATCAAGGATCAGTTACAGTTACAATGTAGTTGTCAAAATTGGGTTTTAAATTTTTTATTTATTTACCTTCAGTTATTCTGAAGCATCAATACTTGGACACACCTAAACAAAATAAATGAGTACTTTCCCCCAACACACTCCTGTCTTCACAGCTCTTGTGCAAAGCCACCAAATGTCGTTCAGAAGGACCTAATTGCCTTTTTCATAGCAGAGGAAATGAGATAATCAAGTATGTTTCCTGAAGTGTCTGGCGGCTTGTCAGGCAGGAGACTGCTCAGGGGAACTTAAATATAATGTATTCATAGAACTCGCAACAGAATGCACTTTTTTATTTTTGTGAATTTCATTGATTTGTATGTTTTTATTTGTTTTGAGGGGCTCTTGATAAAGATTGTGGGACATTTTGGGTGATAAAAAAAAAAAATCAATACAGCAGTTTTAAAGGTTTACTGTATAGGTCTGTTTGCATTTGTCAAATGGAATAAAATATAGTTTAGATGAATGAGTAATAAAGAATTTCAAAACTGAACTATGAATACAACACTTTTTATAATTCGTTTTGACTATTTTTTCAGATGCTGAGATACGTTGTATTTGTATGTCCTCATAATGTATGTTATCATACAGGAAATTATCTTGGCATTACATACACAAGCAACATTACATTTTTTTTTTAAAGAAAGCGAGGAGACCAGAATATTGAGATGCGAAATACAAGGAATATGCATTGCAAACATACAAAGTCAAATATGATTGGTATTTGTGCTAGACTACACATACTCAATTTGTGCCCAAACAATATGCATTATATTGTTTTCCCTGTTTATTTGTTTTCTTGCATAGTTTGGACAACAAATTAAAGTTTACGAAATAATTGTGAAAAGTCTCCCTCCGGGCCATTCATATATGATGCGCTTCCGCGCGCCATCGCTTACGGCATATTGACGAACACTAAATACGGAAGGCAACATGTCCACCGCTCCTCAGCAAAACAATAACGAGGAGCCTGGCCTCAACGGTAAGTATAATTGTAATCCTTTTCGAACAATCTCAAAAGTTTTAAATACATTTGCAACGAATGGGCTTGCTTTTCGTGGTATGTGTTTATAATCAAAAGGATATAGCAAAAGTTGTCTCTATTGGAATTTCCTCTGCTTCCACAGGGCGGGTAGTAGGGCGTAATATTGACCGTACGTCAACTTTGCTGATCCAATGGATTTACTTTAAATATTTGAGTGACAGGATTTCAACCAACCGTGGATAACTAAACGCTAGTTTGCCTTGGGGCGAGCTTAACCCATATCAAAACAAGTCAAAATAAAATGAGAACATAAATACAAATTTGTCGAATCAGAGCCAATTTTCCGTTTTTAGTTGTGTAATGTATTTACTTAACTCAATTTCCAGCTATTCATAAGGATTTTTGGTTTATAGAGTGTGTTCCACTGCATGAATTGTCGATTATCTGAATCCACAACAAGGCGAACAGAATGCTTTGGAACTGCTTGTCTACTGTGGAAAGAATGCAAAGCATCACCACTGACTACTAGACAATGTAAATTCTAGATTAAAAATTATAATTAATTCTAGAGTAAAAATTATCTGAACAACTAACGTTATAGGCCCATCAAATGCCCATAATACTCAGTGATACTGAGTGTCGTCATCATACCATATCCTTAGGCTTTCTCATAATATTGACTAGCCTATCTTTAGTATCAATCTAATCAGTAATACAAATAAAACGATTTCAAATGTATACCTAACATTGAAGTACTTGATAACGCAATAGGCATATAACCTACTTCCACCCCAATGACAATTACTGTATGCTGAACAGACTCAATATTCATATGACCATCAGATGCAGTCTCAAAACTGCCAAAACAGTCCACTTTGGAGGAAAAAGCACAAGATTAAGATGGTATATGTTTTTGTTATCGGTGTCCTTGTATAGTACTTTCTGTCCCTGAGGCTCTGTCCCTTTGTAAAGTATGGCGATACAGTCTGTTTCTAGTAGCATGCACTGGGAAAGTCCTAGAAGAGGTTTAGTGAGTTGGATGTGGCTCAGGCTAAACTGGTTAACAGACAGGGGTGTGGGGAATGGAGCTTTGATTTGATGCTTTAGCTTAGTTTCCAGAGATTGCATAACTCTCCTCCCTCCCTGTGTTGGAGCAGTCTGGATTCCATTCGGGCAGGCTGCTGTGAGAGGCAGTACCACTATCATTATGAAATGTAGGCTATCGGCTGGATGCACTGGATAGTGTGTTTATTTATAGACAAAAAAAACAGATCGTGGTAAATTATGAATGATATAATAGGCATACTACTACAGATAATGGACCTTACTCCTGCACATTGATCTGGTACTGGCACTCCTTATATATAGCCTCATTCTTGTGTATTTTATTCCTCTTGTGTTACTATTTTAACGTTCTACATTTAATAGAATATGCACATTATGTAAGGGGACCTGTATTGGAAATGGAACCACATAACGTCACTGGCATAGTGGAATTTAGGCCACCCAATTCCAATTGATGTCCTGATAAAGAAATGTGTGAGTAAGATATTACTAAAATGTCACCCTCTGTTAAACTAATAATGTATGACTATTAGTAGACTAGAGCTTAGAGAGTTAATCAAATGTGCTTATATAAGATACATATTTGCCCAGCAACAGAGTATTTGTGTCGAATTAGGCAAGCAGAAGTGCAAAACGTTGAAACCAATAACAGGAGACCAGTTTCAAAAACAGATGTCCCCACACAGGGAAGGGGAGTGAGAGGCTTGCAGAATATTGTGAGAACAGCGATAACTATGTATGGGAATAGAGAAAAAATGCAGCCTGCCCGAGCAAGGAGTAGGCTATGATAAGAACATGCGTGTGTGTATGTGTGACCTGATGGTCAGGAGAGCAGAGGATAACCACATGAGCTAAACCCAGGTGTGAGTTTACAAGATGTGTACAGTGGAAAAATACAGCCCGCCTAAAGCGGGGTGGGATTTTTCCTCTGACGTGTGTATAAAAATATTGACTTTCAAACACAGAGATTCACGGTGATGTCGGGACCAAGAAAATACCCTCCCTCTGGCTAGAAACTCATTGCAGGTTTTGAAAATCACTGTTTTTTTACTACCTTTGAGATGTCACAGAGAAGCATTTTTTAGGACCTTATCTTTTTAACCACAGATCATAGAAACACACTGTTTTCACATATGTAGACACTGGTATTGTGCTGGAGATAATGAATATGAAAAGTGGTGGAATTGCTCTTTAATAGGCATGGGAGCTTGTTTATGACTTGAGCGAAGACTGAGAGCATGCTTTGTTCCAAAGTTGCAGCTTAAAGCAGGCTAGACTTAGAGTCCAGTGCCATGTTTTAAACTGAACTCTCCTGAAGTGCAGTATGTTTGTTTTTATTCATGGCGTCACTTGTTTCAATAATATGCACATTAAGCCTTTTTTTACAAATAACCTCTACCGGTGTCTTTGACATCTAAAACCCTTGCATCCATGTCTATTTTTTGTTTTACAAAATGATTCTGCTTTCGTGCATATGGAGTTAGGCCTAATCCTCAAGAGTGTAGGGCAGCCATCCACCATGGCTCTCCTTGTTAACATGCACTGCTGTATGTTCCATACAGTGACTTTGCTTTACACATACTGTGAGTGGCTGAGTGCCAGACAAAGCACAGGTCTCATGCATCTGAGATAAAGGGTCCTAAACAGCAGAAGGGATGAATTGCTCTGCCAGGGGCTCTCTGCTATAGACCAACCTGAAATGCAAATGTCTGCTGATTTCAGGATCTATAGCCTAGATCTCCATTCAGCGTCAGTAAGTATTTTTGTGTCATGATGTTTTCTGTCTTTGTTGACCACGTCACTTAATTGCAAGCACTTACAGCAGCTATTTGGCCTTTTCCAAAGTACCACTGCCTTCTTTCTCCAGCTTGCTCATTTGAATCACAATAGCCACATAATAAAACAACAGTGCTACAAGTTCTCTTTTCAAAATGTCAATGTTTTTTAGTTTTGGTGCAGGTGCAGTAAGCCATGCATCGAATTTGAGAACTTGTCACTGCATCTTTACCATGGACTTATGTCACTATTATCAACATTTGTACTGATACCCACACTTACTCTGATCCCCATTTCATGGTTGTGTTTTCAGGGTCATGGGTAGAGCTGGAGATGAATGGAAACAACAGGAACCAGGCTCTGCTGCCAAACCCCAACACGGGGAATGGGAATGAGGGGGAGAGTCAGGCCCCTCAGGCCCTGGAGGTGGTGCCAGAGGAGGTGGAGGAGAGTCTGACAGGGGGGTTGGGGCACGTGCCCTCATCCTCCTCTATCCACAATGCAGACATGAAGAAGATCCTGCTGGATGCCCAGCATGAGTCCAGCCAGAGCAGCTCCTCCTGTGACAGGTAGGAAGGGAGTGTCATGTTTTTGGTGTGCCCACTCCCTGAGCTATTTTCTCCATGTTGGGGTGTTTGTATAATTTGCGTGTTTATTTTCGTCCTGTGTTGTGCCTCAGTCCTCACAGACCTTCCAGTCCAGATCAGGATCAGGATGACAGGCAGGTCACCTTTGACGTGGAGATGTCCAGTAGGAGAGGGAGCCAGGTACAACAACCCAGTCTGCTCTCATGTGTCTGTTCCTCCATCCATGCCCCTGACATCACTGTTACAGTATAGGCCTACAGTACCTCTCTGCTCACTCACCTGTGTGCTCTCTCTTTCTCCACATCTACAGTCAGAGGAGGAAGGCCCAGAGAAAGACAGAGAAGATGATATCCTGATGAACAAAGGTGCAGACTGGGTTGCAGATTGGTCCAGTCGTCCCGAAAACATTCCCCCCAAGTAAGGAGACACTGCACACAATCTAATATAAATAAACTTGTAGTCTAAATCATAGCAAAAATAGACAAAACGTATTCAATTCCATATCAATCCATGTAGAAAGTTAATGCATATAATACAAATTATAATTTTCTGTAGGAAGCCAATATAATTTGTTTCAAAATGGCCAACATGTTCAGTGATGATTTTTATTACTTTTTTTGTAGGGAGTTCCACTTCCAGCACCCCAGACACTCAGTATCCCTCAGCATGAGAAAGAGTGGAGCCATGAAGAAAGGGGGTGTCTTCTCTGCTGACTTCCTCAAAGTCTTCATCCCCTCCTTACTCCTATCTCACATCCTTGCCCTTGGTATCGGGTGAGTGACTGTACCATCTTACACAACTAGAAAATCAATTGGATGTGTGAGTATTTGTACACTGAACAAAAATATAAACGCTACATGTAAAGTGTTGGTCCCATGTTTCATGAGCTGAAATAAAATATCCCAGAAATGTTCCATACGCACAAAAAGATTATGTCTCAAAATCTTGTTCACAAATTTGTTTACATCTCTGTTAGTGAGCATTTCTCCTTTGCCAAGATAATCCATCCACCTGACAGGTGTGGCATTTCAAGAAGCTGATTAAATAGCATGATCATTACACAGGTGCACCTTGTGCTGGGGACAATAAAAGGCCACTCTAAAATGTGCAGTTTTGTCACACAACATTTTGTATACATCTGGCCCTTCATTGGACACTGTGTTAACAAATCTCCAAACGAGCTTCAATGCCATACAACACTCCTTCAGTAGCCTCCAACTGCTCTTAAACACTAGTAAAACTAAATGCATGCTCTTCAATCGAACGCTGCTGGCACCCACCCACCCGACTAGAATCACTACTCTCGACGGGTCTGACCTAGAGTATGTGGACAACTACAAATACCTAGGTGTCTGGTTAGACTGTAAACTCTCCTTCCAGACTCACATTAAGAATCTCCAATCCAAAGTTAAATCTAGAATCGGCTTCCTATTTCGCCTCGTTAAACTGACTATCCTACCGATCCTTGACTTCGGCGATGTAATTTACAAAATAGCCTCCAACACTCTACTCAGCAAATTGGATGTAGTCTATCACAGTGCCATCTGTTTTGTCTCCAAAGCCCCATACACTACCCACCACTGTGACCTGTACGCTCTTGTTGGCTGGTCCTCACTACATGTTCGTCGTCAAACCCACTGGCTCCAGGCCATCTATAAATCACTGCTAGGCAAATCCCCGCCTTATCTTAGCTCATTGGTCACCATAGCAGCACCCACCCATAGTCTGCGCTCCAGCAGGTATATCTCACTGGTCATCCCCAAAGCCAACACCTCCTTTGGCCGCCATTCCTTCCAGTTCTCTGCTGCCAATGACTGGAACGAATTGCAAAAAATCTCTGAAGCTGGAGACTCTTATCTCCCTCACTAACTTTAAGCATCAGTTGTCAGAGCACCTTACCGATCACTGCACCTGTACACAGCCCATCTGAAATTTGCCCACCCAACTACCTCATCCCTATATTGTTATTTATTTTGCTCTTTTGCACCCCAGTATCTCTATTTGCACATAATCTCTTGCACATCTAGCATTCCAGTGTTAATACTAATTGTAATTATTTTGCACTATAGCCTATTTATTGCCTTACCTCCATAACTTGCTACATTTGCACACACTGTATATATATTTTCTGTTGTATATATATTTTTTGACTTTATGTTTTTTTACCCCATATGTAACTCTGTGTTGTTGTTTTTATCGCACTGCTTTGCTTTATCTTGGCCAGGTCGCAGTTGTAAATGAGAACTTGTTCTCAACTGGCTTACCTGGTTAAATAAAGGTAAAATAAAAAAAAATAAAAAAACATAATGCCACATATGTCTAAAGTTTTGAGGGAGTGTGCGATTGGCAGGCTGACTGCAGGAATGTCCACCAGAGTGGTTGCCAGATAATTGAATGTTAATTTCTCTACCATAAGCCCCCTCCAACATTGTTTTAGCGAATTTGGCAGTACGTCCAACCGGCCTCACAACAGCAGACCACGTGTAACCACGCCACATCCGGCTTCTTTACCTGCGGGATCGTCTGAGACCAGCCACCTGGGCAGCTGATAAAACTGTGGGTTTGCACAACTGAAGAATTGCTGCACAAACTGTCAGAAATTGTCTCAGGGAAGCTCATCTGTGTGCTTGACCTGAATGCAGTTCGGCGTTATAACCGACTTCAGTGGGCAAATGCTCACCTTCGATGCCCACTGGCACGCTGGAGAAGTGTGTTCTTCAAGGATTAATCCCGGTTTCAACTGTACCAGGCAGATGGCAGATATCGTGCATGGCGTCATGCGGGCAAGCGGTTTGTTGATGTCAACGTTGTGAACAGAGTGCCCCATGGGGGCGGTGGGGTTATGGTATGGGCAGGCATAAAATTGCATTTTATCGATGGCAATTTGAATGCACAGAGATACCATGACGGGATCCTGAGGCCCATTGTCGTGCCATTCATCCGCCACCATCACCTCATGTTTCAGCATGATAATTCCTGGAAGCTGAAATGTCCCAGTTCTTCTATGGCCTGTATACTCACCAAATATGTCACCCATTGAGCATGTTTGGGATGCTCTGGATTGACGTGTATGATAGCGTGTTCCCACCAATATCCAGCAATTTCACACAGCCATTGAAGAGGAGGGGACAACTTTCCACAGGCCACAATCAACAGCCTGATCAACTCTATGCCAAGGAGATGTGTTGCGCTGCATGAGGCAAATGGTGGTCACCCCAGATACTGACTGGTTTTTTGATCCACGCCCCTACCTCTTTTTTTTAAAGGTATCTGTGACCAACAGATGCATATCTGTATACCCATTCATGTGGAATCCATTGATTAGGGCCTGATTAATTTATTTCAATTGACTGATTTCCTTATATGAACTGTAACTCAGTAAAATCTTTGAAATTGTTGCATGTTGTGTTTATATTTTTGTTCAGTGTAGATTATGTCTGCTGTTGAATCATTGTCATGCTGTACTTATTCTCTCCTTAGGGTCTACATTGGAAAGAGACTCACCACGCCTTCCACCAGCTCTTTCTAAAACCAAACTAAAGCAGTGCCTGGAAGTCGCATCAAAATTGTCTTGTCGAAAAAATAGTTGTGCTATAAGGTCCTCTTTTCCTCTGCATCCATTGTACACCTAGCTAGCTTCCACCTCCCTTTTCCGTTCTATTCATCCATTCTATATTCTGTTTTCAACTCAGATTTTTTTCATACGTTTTTACCACTTTATTTAACACTGACTCACCCCAGTCTTTTTATGTTGGGTGCTTTTGGAAGGTTCACGATTCGTGAATGTTTGGGAACCTTTACCTTTTGATACAGATTGGGCACAGTGCGAACTGTACCATCGGACAGTAATGACCACTAGCAACCCATAATAGTTCACAGCCCCTGCCTGAACCTGAGTGTGGTACTTTTGTAACAAATTATTCTCAATTCAGCTATTGAAATCCTGTACTGCACAAACACTGAGGTGGCTGGTATTGGATGGCAGGGGGCCTGAATGTTTGGGAATCTCTGAGATTTCCATATAGATGCCTTAGCTTAGACAGAGATTGTGCTGTGAGAAGTCTAGGAGTGTTTATCTTCCTGCTCCTTACTCCAAATCAGTTAATTGCATAGTGACTTGCACCTGAACCAAAAATAAGCTCCATATCTGAAGTACACCTTTCAAGAGTTGCAGTGACTGAATCAAGTGGTATTGTTGTTCAGTTTTTTTTATTGCAATGAGTTTGGAATACTTTTTAGCCCAGACTTTAATTCAGGAGAAGTTTTGTTGTATTCCACCCTATTCTAGTTATACCTAATTGTTGTCATATTTTAGTAGCCCCAAACAATATTCTCTAAAGGGGGTGGTCTCTTGGTGAAAGGGTGTGAATATTAATACTAGTGGCTACTGCAGGTTTCCATTGATTATCAGGAAAACATCCTAGCAAATAGTTATACAGATGGGGGTGTTGATGCAGAAAGAGTAGCACATCTAAATGCTCTACAGTACATGGTGGAGTACTGTAGTAGTAAGGAGAAGGGGAAAGTTTGAATGAAGATGTCATTTTTATGTACAGTAGATATAGTATAGTAGATACAAATATACACAACCTGCCTGCTGTTCAGCAACTCAAATTTATTTTGTCATATCTTATTTATTTTTTCAAGCTGATTCTAGAAACCTTTGAATTGAAGTTTTCCTGTGTGGTTACACACCCTCAGAGTGAGATCCAGTGTATAGGTCCAGGCACCATACTGAGTTGGATGTATTAGCAGACTTATGATATAACTGGCCACAAATGACTACTGCATAGTGCCAAATATAGATATCTTTTCATCTCAGCGCTTTCATTGCATTGGAAAGTTACCACTGACACTGATCTCTCAATTATTGGACAAGTTGAACTATAGGGTTAGACTAACTCAAACAGTGACATGCCCTCCTATCTCCAGCTCTGATAAGTCATCAACCTTGTTTTGACATGTCCTTTGGTGATCTATTTTGAGATTTTCATGATTCTTATGGGGAACATTTTGTGTAAGCATGGGATCTATTCAGCCATTCCCCATAGGTAGACATTATCTACCTTATTATGGCAATGTAAGCAATGCTTTTTGTATATATGTTTAACACTGACCTATTTTAAGAATTATGAAATCTGATAAAGGACTGTTTTTTGGCATGTTTTATTTTCATCACACTAGGTAATCACGCTAGGTAATTATCCCAGGAACTCCTGGGAAAGTGACTATATAGAACCAGCACTTCACCACTGTATTGAGTTGCTTGGTGATTTTGGGTTTTGTATTGTATTAGGGGGAAGGTTGGTGGGCAATGGGGATAGGTGTGATGACATGAGTGTTTTTTTTTTTCTGAGTTGGATTGTTTTTTTGTGCCTCTTCTTGGTTTGTACCAACTCAAAGTAACTCCCATTGCATGCATGCCTTTAGTTTGTAATTGGCATTTACGTAGTATAATTCACGAGATGCCAAAGGTTGTCATAGCTTTCATTAAAATTGTGAAGTCCATCCTTGTTTGTAAGGCAGAATAAGTATGCACATTATCATTGTTATGTTATTATTTTCTGATAATCCAAAATACAAACTGAAAGATGCTTTTCTTGTTTGTATGGAGGGCAGGGCCCTCAGGAATTCATTGAACATGCTTGTAAAAAAAATATTCTAGAAGCAAGAAGTTTCAGCCATGTAGTTTGATTAATTGTAATAATATTGGAAAAACTGACATTAAAATGAGAAATGAACCACAGTACTCTCAATAAGTGTTTTTCATGTTTTTGAAAGGTGAAAATGCAGACCAGAAATGTATTGTAAAACACATCACGTTGTAAAAGAAAATTATGGAAATAACATTGCTTTTTGTGAAACCCCCTCCTACTAAGGGGGGGGGGGGGGGGGGGGGGTATAAGTGGGAAGAGCATATTAAAACCTTTTGAATAGGAAAAAGCGGGAGGGCATAAACTGTCTGTGCCCTCATTTTAAGTGAGAATGAGTGGAGCAGTAGAGGATTGATGCTTTCCAAATATTTGAGTTCCTTGTAAATGCATGTCAACAGAAGAGGAAGGTGGGTGATAGATTAGTGTCAATTTGTCTCTTTGGCGGCTTTACATTGCTGACCTGGATGCATGATGTGCTCTGTATCTTGATGCATGATGTGCTCTGTATCTTGATGCATGATGTGCTCTGTATCTTGATGCATGATGTGCTCTGTATCTTGATGCATGATGTGCTCTGTATCTTGATGCATGAAAGGTACAAAGAATAGCAAGGACATGTGCAGAGGTCACACATTATTGTCTGATGTTATTGAACCTAGACAGCATGGACTGGGTAGAAGTAACAGTGCATTCTCTCCATATTTTCTAACAGTGATGCACTAAATCAATAATATGGGTCAAATTGACCATTTCGCATTGATCTTAATATCGGTGAAAGGTTATAGATTGTTGCAAGCAAGGTATGTCGCCGTTTTGTCTGTCATGTAGGCCTAAATAATGTCAATTTACCCCTTTTACCACGTTACGGAGCAGTTCATGTTGAGGCTTAGAGGAATAATTATGTAAATAGAAAAGTACTGGATTTGGACGTGTCTGTCCTTTAAGCTTCAACATGAAATGTCTCTAAATTAATGTTTACATTTCTGTGTGATTTTTTTTAGTCTGTGTGTATGCCGGAACAATGTTTTGTAGGAAAGAGATCCCTCTTGGTTCATCCCATTCATGTATCCATTGATTATTGTATATTCCATGAGAGGGACAAATACCGGTCATGGCTAGCCGGGATACAGTTTATGTCAAATTGAAGTTGCTTTTTTTGCATTTTAGCTAACCCTAACCTTTTCCTAACCATAACCTAATTATCCTAACCTGCTACATTAATTATCCTAAGCTGCTGAGTAAATTCTAACCTAATACTAAAAGTCAATTCTGACATAAACTGTAAACCGGTACTATCTAGTCAAAACCACAAATACCTCATTGTAAATCCATGGCAACAGAGGAGGGGTTTGGGGATTTCAGACATTTTGATTGGCTAACCGCAGGTGTTCTGATGTTGAAGGTGGTGGTATGTTTTTTTTGTGTGTTTTTTTTCCTGGGGTTTGAGACCAAGTTGTTTGGATTTGAAAATCCAATTTTCTGTATTGGAAGGGGGCGCTAGGGGCTGTGTTTGCTTGTCCATGTTGGTGTTTGAGTGAGAAAGACAGAGGAGAACCAATCAGTAAAAAAGCACATCCTCTTTGTTATAGATGCATCGTGATGACAACATCAAAATAGCCTTTCCAGACTTTGAAGTCAGGAGGACTTAGAGTTAGGTGTTAGCCAGACTAGCTGGGCCTATACAAGTGAATGGCCTCCTTTACTTGTGTCATTTTATTTGTAAGAAATAAATGAAATAGCTATTTTTTATTAAGGAATGAATTAAATCAACATGCACATCACTTTCATATTGTTTAGTGGAAAATAACAGCATGTAATCCATAAGGCTTCCACACACATTATGTATATTACTAAATATACACTTAATTGGTTTCGATCAAAGGTGGTGGTTAAACTTTAAACCTGACAGTACCTTGTCACAATAGAGTTGGTATAGGAACATCAGTGTGTTGGCCTTTTCCTCATTCCATTAGTAACACAGGTTACATTCATGGTGACCATGCACAACTTGATTATACAGGTTAGGGTTATTCGTGACACACAAACACACACACAGCCCTTTTGACTTTGCTTGTCCTTTCTATATAAAGGAAGTTGCATTGTTTCAGACAAGTCAAATGAGCGTTAGTGTCACTCCTTCTTCTCTCATGCTCCAGACTTGGCCTGTAGCAGGTGAGCTGGAGAGCGAAGATGGGAGCAGGGTGGGACATTGCGCATGCACGGTGGCCATGGCCCTCATCACCGGTTATATTCTCGCTCCCTTTTGGTGACTGACTGTCTGGACAGGCTTGGCTCAGCATTGGAACGTGAGGAAAGACTGTCAGACCTTTTAGGTTCATTTAGCAAACCTCGTTGGACGTTGGAACGGATAGAGCTATTTGACGAATTTAGTCCTTGGTTCTGTTGCAGGCGATAGCTGCAGACACAATTTTGTCTGGGCGTCGACTGTTCTCAACCCATCCGAGCATCCATTCCTTTCATTGCTAGCGGTCTAGCTAACATCAGTGAGGTGACTACCATAATCGAGGAGGCTGACAACGCGCCGCTAAGATGTCCGGGTACCAGGGAAAGAAAAATATCCCACGCATTACAGTGAGTATAGTGTTTTAAATGCTTATACTTTTACAAAATGGTATGTAAAATCTAGACCGGCAATGCATGGCTGAATAAGCTAGCAGTGGGGATTACACAGTTAGCTTGCTAGCTACAGCTAGCATAGTCCATCTGAGGAGGAGGGGGTCCATTCATACCAATGCAATGTCACCACTTGCACTGCTATAATAAACAAAGGCACGGTAATTGGTCATAAGAAATTGAACCCATTGTAAACCGTTCATGCGCTCATGTCATTGGAATACTCATTGGCACGCGCATTTTATTATGTGCATGCTATTTTGCAGCCATTCCATATCCTACCATGTTAGACGATTTAGCCTAGCCTGCAGGCTTAGGAGAAAAAAATAGATGATTGTGACAAATATTGTATCTTCTTAATCCTTATATTCAGATGTATTATATTATACTTTTAATGCAGTATTGGTAATACTGTAGTTATAGATCTTGGGGATACCATAATATACAATCGAATGTGAGAAAAATCCCAGCAACGATTTTAGTTATTTTCCTAATTGTTTGGAAAATATATTAATTGAATACATATGTATTTGTCACAACAATTCGTCCTATCAACTCAAGACAGCAAAGGGTTAATTTGCCATGATGACATTTGAGGATGGGGACATAATAGTTGAAAGGGCAAAAACAATTTCTGTAAAGTAGGTCATTGGATGAAATCCATCCTTGCTGGTTGCTATAAAAGCTGTGATCATGAAGGCCTAGCTTCTGACTGTATGCTGAAATATACTGTAGATACAGTAATGACATTTAGGCATTAATGGCTTGAATCAAATAACAAACCACACATTTGCGTGCGTTCCTCTCTAAAATATATGAATTATTGAAATAAAATGGTTCTTGATAGCTGTCCCTTTTGTTTCTACAAGGGCAGCATGGAGGGGAACTGGGATTGAGGGGGTGGTATTTTCAGGCAGCTGTCGGATCTCCCTCACAACTGGAGGAGGCCTATCTAAACCCCTAACATCTCAGGCATTGCATACAGACTACTCAATCCCAGCAGCCCCCGGCCTTCAGATGACAGCATGGTGTCGCTTTAAAGGGGGCCCTGTTACTTGCATGAACTAGGCTACTCTTTCACCCCACCTAAGCAAAGAGAGAAGTTATGGGATGCTGGTAATGTACATGGCTTTGGCTGTGGGGAGGTATGCTGAGGAGTATTTTTCTCAGCTCTTCTGACAAGTAAATATTTGTATTATTATTATTATTTGTTTTTCTATCAGGGGGTGCTGCAGCACCCTCAGCACACCTACTTCCCGCAGCTATGCCTAGACCTACTGAACATTTGACCTGTAGCCATAGAGATAGATAGAGGACTCTAGTGCCCAAAAGCCAGTTTTAGCATGGACAACGCCATTGAGGACTTTCATCATTTCTAAGTAGTCAACTGGGTGGGACTTCCTATGGGTTATAGACATGCTCCGTAACTTTAGCAACTGTTAAGTATTTTTTTTACCGCCCGCTTTGGGCAAGATGTGTCAATGTGTAATTCATACATGGAGAATC